GTAATGTACCACACAATACTAATTGCTTGTCAGCCAAAGTCGTACCCCCTGCTTTATATCTTATAACAAATTGTTAACAAATAAAATTGTGCGAGGTACTTCACTCATTGCTTTTATGAAAATTTTCTGTTTCAATAGATAGGGGGCAATAAAATGGACCTTCCAATACCCGGCTGCCACCCCTCATCCCCTGCTTTAAGGGTGGCTGCCGATGTCCAATATGACAATATTGATTAACTAACCTACACCTATCACTTTTATGGACGAATGACATATCGTTGGAAAGCTCGTCAAATTAATACTTCCTTCAAAATAATTCCCGGCTGCCGCACCTTCGCCCCTGTGGAGGTGAGGCTGCCGAGGTTTTAACTCGCTGCGCGAGTCCATTCGAAAACGCAGTTTGAAATGCGCGCTCTAGACAAGGACAGAGCGATGTGTTCCCATTTGTTCTTCAAATGTTATTATTCTCCTGAATGTCACATTGTTACAATGGCAGAGTAGGTAAGAATTTGTGTTGTTTATATATTTTTCGACATTCATTGAGTGTAGTAGTCAAAATGTATGATCTTATTATCGCGAGTCAAGTTTCAAGTCTGTTTTTAATCTTTTAAGGAGTGTAAGGAAAGCGTAATTAGAATTTTCGAAAAGTTGTACTATCGAGTCGCATCTGGTGTAATCATTTACGTAAATATGAATAACACAGTTATTGATCTGTAATTATCATATTATCAAAAGATCCTAAAAAATTTAATTGTAGGCAAAGGATAGATGTCATGTTTAACTGATTAGACATATTTATACCCACTTTGCCGTATGATTCTTAAGTGAGGGGTTACTTCAGCAAAGCTTTCGTGGAGGTGAAGAAATAAAGGTTTTTCGTAGTTTACTAATGTATTTATTTATATGTTACGAAATCATTGAGAAGAAGTATTAATTAACAATATGCTGTGTTGCAATATTACTCCCGGACTACTATATAAAAGAGATTTATGAAATACAAATTTTAATAACAATATTCTATATTTTAAGCGAAAAAAGGATTAATGCATATAAATACATACAATATTTTAATAAGTTATAATTATAATCAATGTAACTAAAAATTAAATTTTATTTAATTAAATATCTCACACATATACAATATTACAAAATTCTTTTTGATAATTGAGAAGCAATAATAATATACATATAGGGGAGACCGGGGCGAAGTTGTCACCGGGGCGGAGTCGTCATTGCAATTACCTCGAAATCTGTATGTTGTGTTAACTCCGCCATTAATACTGTAAACGCGGCTTATGGTGCCCACATGACGAACGGAGTTTGGTGAGGTTATGTGCCATGTTGTGATTTTTATTGAGGCAAACGTGTTTTCGAAGGTCAAAAGTAAAATTTTTTGCGCGTCAAAAATTTGTAATATTATTGCGTCTCCGAATCTCAAAGTGATTCTAAAGAGTAATGCATGCTGTGAACATGAATCCAATGAAGTTTTTTTATTTTTATTGATTTTTAATATTTTATGAGCGACCAAACTTGAAACTTGTGTCCGGGGCGAAGTCGTCATCAAGCCATATCATGGAGGCTTCCGGCGAAAATCAAAGTCAAAGAAGCAGCAGTTGTCGGATTCCGGCAAGGACTTGGATAATATGTGCTGCGTGTGCTCAGAGATGACAGAATAGAACTGACGAGAAACGTGCGAGCGTAGGGCACATAAGTGTGTGCGCTTTTCTTGTAATTATTTTCCGCCATCGTATTTTTAATTAATGCTTCCATTTTTTTATTAAAAAATAACTAATAAAATGTATCATTTTTCATGATCGGAATTATGAATTTTTATATAAAATTCAGTCCGAGAATAAAGTGACGACTCCGCCCCGGAAATTTTGACATTTCAATTTTTGCATCTTTGTCGTTTTCACTCTATACCAATCGAACAAAGCGACTTAGACCAAAAATGTCCGTATAAATTTTGTAGCCAAGGGTTCACTCTTTACAATGGTATACCACATTTTACTAAAATTATTTGTTTTGTTGTTAAAAATCGGCACCGAAAAAATAGTGACGACTTCGCCTTGGTCTCCCCTACTTGATTTTGAATAAAATAAAACTTTCAAGATGATACTACACATGACGTAGCTCCAATATAATAAGGTACATTAAAATAATCTATTCTTACGACTGTAATCTGAAACTTGAAACTTTTCAAAATTATGAAGTTTCTGGTAGACTGAGAAAAACAATTTTTCTCTTTTTTTTGGTTTGAGAAGAAGTTATTCTTTATTAAACTTTATAACTGGATCCGTGCATACACTTCTTTATAAGTTGTTTCTTCTTCTTGTAATTAAAATCTGTCTTTTGCTTGTTATCTTTTCGACAGATTCGGATCTCCGGTACTGTAAGAATTACATAGGCATATATTTATCTCTATAATCGCATGAACGCTTATTTGTCCATCATTAACCGCAAAACACCTCACGTACGATCCCCGTAGCGTTGATAAAAACATAATGCATCGGTAATGCTCTCGCGCCCACCTACCGTCAAACTGCATCGAAAACTATGCGCTTACCCGCTCGCCTAGTATTTCACATCTTTGAACCCATAATAGACCGGCAGGTAGAGAGAGAGGCGTTCGACGATCGACCGCGATAAGCATCAATAGACATGAGTCGTTTCCCGCTAATCGCAACCTGCGAGGTATAGTATCTAGTATCATCGCGGCATCGTTTTCCACATCTTCTTGCAAACTGGAAGCGCATATATTCCGCATTACATCCTTGCTTAGTACACAACATCCTGCTCACTGTAACATACGCGTCGCATCATCCTCGATGTAGAACGATCGTGGTCACGCAGACTCTTTTTTGTTGATATAAAATTAATTTTCTGTAAAGTTACTTTTCTGTACCAGAATTGTTAAATTTATACAATACATACATTTTATATTGAACATTTGCGGTAAATATCTGATAATTTGCAAAATTTTGATAATCTTTACTTTTCACTAGCATTTTTTTCTTTTTTACGGGAATTTTAAATTTAAAGGAACACAAATGTGTGCACTCCAGTTCTTGTAAAAAAATTAA